TTTTGGGGTCTAAAAACAAAGCACTAATGCACTTACTGACAAGTGTGAGGGGATCCTTGCTTGGGTGCATGGTAGGGCGTGCTCACACAGAGCAGGCTCTCGTATCAGGCAAAACTGGATTTGAATTCCTGCTAAATCGCTCATTAGCTATTCCACACTGATAAGTTTGCTAAGCCTGTTTAAGCCTTAGTTTTCCCTATATGTAAATTGGAAATAATACCAACAACCTTACAGATGAGCTATGAGAATTAGAATTACCTGGTACAGAAGGCTGGCACATACCATGAAGTCACCTGCTTATTTGAGTGAGGCTGGCCTATCTGGACAAGTCCTGAGCTGCATTCTGCTGATCCGAGGTCTAACAAAGAATGGTCACAGGCAGGATGATCAGCAAACAGCACTTGGGAATTGAATTTACTGGAAGACAACAGGAACTAACTGATCCTTTGTTTTGTGAAGGTTAAAGGTCAAATATCTAGGTAAGGGACATAAACTATACTGAGACACAAAGGCAGTCTGAAGTTCTTAGCTCAGTGTACCCAGTATCAAGGAGAAGACTTGGGACTCAAAAAGAGCTGGTCAGTTTTCCTGGGGTGGTGGCTGCTTCCTCCTGCTGTAGTTACCTGAGGCTATGAATGCATTGGTGGGGGATGGAGTGAGGAGGGGTTTTCTGGAGATCAAGCCCAGGGCTCCATACATGCATAGCAAGTGCCCTTACACCAGAGCTGCGACCCCACTCCCCCATTATGTTTGGGTGGTGTTTTCTGAGATAGATAAAGCATCAAACCTTCCTCATGCTATGACCCTTTCACACAGTTCCTCGTATTGTGGTGACCCCAGCCATAAAATTATTTTCATTGATACTTCATAACTGTGATTTTGGTGCTGTGGTAAATCCTAATGTAAATATCTGACGTTTAGGATATCAGATATGCAACTCTCATGAAACAGCCGCTCAGCCCCCAAAAAAGCTGTGACCCACAGGTTGAGAACCACTGCTTTAGATGATTCTATCTTTTATGGTTTATTTGTTTGGCATGGGCTCTTGCTGTCCAGGCTGGCCTTTATCTCTTAATTCTGTCTCAGCTTCCCCAGTGTTGGCATTACAGTGTATTTCATCACACTCACCTACAGCATTCTAAATCTGAAATAGAACCAAGATTTTGAATAGGAAGAATGAGAAAAGCAGTAATGTGCTACTTCCAGCATGGCCTCTTGTCACTTCTGGCAACATGAAGGATAAGAAAGAGCACTGATTTGGGAGCATGGGGCTTGGGTTCCCAGATCTGCCACTTGTTCGTGGTACAAAATTAGATGCAGTCACTTCAGTTCCCAGAGCTTCCATGGCATCCTCAGTCACATGGGAACATTTCAGTGGCAGTAAATGTCCTTGGCAATACCAGTGATAGATTATGTTAGTGTTTCACATGCCTACTTTAAAAATAAAACAAGACTAAATAACAACAACGAAGAACCTAATTGCTGATTTGAATTGCTTATCCACCATTCCTATTCATCTATTTCTTTCTCTTCTCCTTTCTAGTCTCTCTACTGCCCTTGCCCACACCTACTTAGTTTCACACATTCAATTAATTCAGTGACAACTTAAGTACCCAGAATTTGCAAGGAAGCTAAGCATGTTAGTTTACAAACATTGACAATAACAGGTGACAGGCGATTTACTTAGTTAATGGGTTTGAAATGAAACTTCTGATATTTTGGCGTATCATATTCAATATGTCTTACCTATTTTGAACCTAATAGAGAGCACTGAAATAGTCCACATGGTGGAACTCATTCCCAAGGTTTAATTTATATAGTCCAAATCAGTCCTTCATCTGTAAACAATTCATTCTTCCATCCAAGATGTATAAGTTTTAAGAAACATTTAATGGCTGGATTGTGGGAAATAACCTCAAGAAACTGGAGAGGAAATGCTAATGGGCATGAGATCAAACAGATGCTAATGTAGGGATGAGCATCTAGGCCAGTGAGGATTAATAGTGAGAGTCCCACTACCAGGGAACAACGAGAGAAAATAAAAAGAAGGAAGATGATGTAGGGCCGATCAAGTTCAAATGTTTCAGTAAGCCGTAATAATCAATGAGAGAACATGATGTTGGAAGAATGTATCACTACAGTGAGAGAGTGGAGAAATTCATTGGACACGCGACTTAACTCACAAAACCCGAGGTGAGTATGGCTGTATTAGAAACCTTGATGGAGTCAGCTAGCTGCATGCCTACACTATACAGATACATACTGAAGTAAAGGATGCCCTCGAGGATACCTTGGCAATGAGGCACCTTGGGAGCCTGTGTTTGCGGGGCTGCAGTCGGAGCCAGCCAATTGCCCCCAGTTTGTACCTGAGAGGGGGAGTGTGGATTGAGAAAGGCTACATAAAGACCTAAAGACATTAAAGAGAAAGACAGAGACACAGGATAGAGTCAGGAGGGCAAATCAAGTCAATACTGAACTTGCTTAGTTTATTCTTTAACATTTTTAAGAACCCAACCAAAAGTGGGGACAATGGCAGAAGACTTCTATTATCATGTATAAGGGGCAAGGATTCTTATTTCTCTTAATCCTCCAGGTATTTGGTAGCCACATCTGCTATCTGACCCTCAGGGTCCAGTGTAAACACACCTGAACCCAAGTCTGTTATTATTTAGATAAAGACATCTGCTATAAAGACCAAAACATCCTGCTGCAGCCAAGCTTTAGACCTTCAGGTCTAAGGATGGTTTTGAACTCTCTGATCTTGAAGCAAGATGAAATGGGCCCCTCTTTATGGGCCCTAACAGGGCACCCATCAGCAGGAGAATTGTATATGGCTCTCAACATGGGAAAGAATTAGAGTGTTAATGGTAGTGGTAAAGAAATGGAGAATTAATTGAATAAAATAAGATGCACTGTAGTTGATAATCATGTCTTTGTGCTGGCTGATGTCACAGTAGTAGCAAGACATGTTTGCTACTTTCATGACTTTTTTCTTGAGCACCATCAACACTGCCAGTCACATGGTTACTGCTAATTTTTATCTACCTATTACATGCAGGCCCTGGGTCAATGCTTTCTACTTTTTCATTTTTGTGTTTCTAGTTATTATTGCTCTGAATGGGAAAAGTACTACTCAGTGTTTCACAGGTGAGAAAACGGAATCACTCAGTAATTTAAAGAATTCACCCATGTCTTCATGGTTAATCAGTAAGGGAGGTAGATTAGAAACTCTACCTTGACTGATGTAGAGTCAAGTTTTCTTTTCTACACTCCTCATTATAAGCCCTTCCACTCCTGGCCTGACAATTCAATCCCTGCAAATCTCAGGTCCCCTCTCTCCCAGGAAATTCTTTAATTAGACTGTGGGCTTCCTTTGTCTCTGTGACAGTGTGATACAAGTAGATTGAGACACATCAGAGGGTGGGTGAAGTTGACTCAGTTGTAGCAGCGACAACTTTGGAAGAAACTGAAGAGTTTGAGTAGCACATAGAAAGGAAAAAAGGCCTTGCTGGTTAATTGCACAACATCCTAATTCACAAGGCACACTCAAATTTCAGTGATAGTCAAATGTGAAACACAGTGTATCCTAGAATGAAGGATTATATTGAATACAGAGCACACAGGGTCACTCTGGAAAGTGTATCTCCTGCTGTGGTTCACATACGGAAGAGTTTGAGAACTTCTGTCTTTTGCAATGTTATGGCGATGGGTGTCCATACCATAGTGGAGCTGCCAACAGTTTCCAGCCTGGTCATCCAATCAGTGTGTCCAGCCACGGACAACCCTGGCTTAGCTGGGGCTGCCAGGTGCCCTGTGACCCAGCCCCTGCACAGTCATGCTCCAAGGAGTTCATGGGTCTCTTACTTGTATCAGAGCCAAGCATTAATGAAGGTACTTGGCATTTCAAGGATGTGACCCAGAGGTGTTCCTTTCTCGGGTTCACATTAGACGGAGATAAGGTCCTGGCCAGCCAGCATCACGTAAATTAATTGAGGTGTTGGGAGGTAATCAAACGGGAATTCTTAGTCTCCAGGCGATACTCACAAGGCTATGAGCTGGAGACAGCAGAAAAGAGCTAAAAGGTCAGTCCAGGGCACTGTCACAGAAATTCTGACTTCTGCCAGGAGAGTTTGATGATGGGAAGTAAGAAGATAATGATTTTTGTGCTTTGAGTTCTGATTTGACCGTGCTCTACAACCGTTATTGATTTATTCTGTTCAACAGATATTCATAGACACCCTTCAGGTCAGGCAATGTGCTAAGGCCGCCAGAGGTCACAGTGTGTGTCAGAGAGCAATTGATTCAGAAATGACTTGGGTAGGTCTGACCTTGTTTTCTCACCTCTGTTTTTTCTTGGCCACACAGCCTGATGCTTAGAGCTCCCTATTGCAACCTGGGAGGGATGTCGAACCCTAAGAAACACCTGGCCATGGCTAGGCATGCTTAGCATGCTTGGTGAGCTCTGCCAGCTGCCTGCAGGAACTTGGCATCGAGTCCCAAGTTTGTTTGTGTGGAGACTAAGTAAAAGGCACTGATGGGGTCCTTATTAGCTCCTTTAAAAGCCCATGTAGCAACTTCAGAATCTTCTAGTTGAATTGGGTGTGTGGACCATAGGTGTGTCTTGTGCACTCAGTGCCAATAAAAGTCTGTTTGCCTTACCTGAGGGTGCTGCGCCCTCTAATAATGCGATAGCTAAGAGTATTGACCCTCTGCTATAATATGCATAATTTTGTATTTCAGTAAGAGCCGTCTACAATGCTGTGTGAGAGCCTGCTAATATGCCCATTTTACAGGGCAGAGGTGTGTTTGTCCTCTCTCACCAATTGCCTTTGTATGGACAATGCTATGGTGCTAAAGATGTTCATCTTGACTTTTAACTACCCTGTGACCACGAGTCCTTCATTGTTCTGCTCCAAAACTGCAAGCAGGAAGAAGTGAAGCATCACTGAATTCACCAGCGTGCCTCAGTTTCCCTTATTTCAGACAGAGAGGGGCTACTTAAAATGTTTTACATTTATTTGTTTAGTAGGGGCATGTGCACCTGTGGGTGCCCACACATGTGACATGTGCAGAGGTCAGAGGACAACTTACAGGAGTGAGTTCTTTCCATCCACTGAAGTCATGACATCAGGCTTGACAGCAACCACCTTTACTCATCTTGCTAGTCCATGAAGGGTTTCTGGGGTGACAAAGTAAGGCATACGCTGCACTATCCTAGGAATCCATGAAGAGTCCAAGGAGGAGGGGGAGCAGAGGACAGGGAGCCTGAAGAGCTGGCTCAAATCCTGAGTCAGTCATCGCCTGCTGTAGAGCTTGAGTGAGCCCTTCAGTTTCTCTGGATCATCTGTGTAGTCCTTAAGGACCTGGTCAGTACTGATACACATGAAAACACAAGCAGTCAACAGTATAGTCCAGGCGTGTGTCTGTGTGTCTGTGTATACCCCTATGTGCAACAAACCTATGTCTCTACATAGTTATTTGTTCTCAGTACCCACGGCCTGCATCTCCCAGGCAGTGAGGGAGCAGGGCTCAGTCTCAGCCACACTGAACAGGTCTGCTAGAATGTTTAATCCCCTGATATGGGAAGAACATGTCTCTTGTGATATAACTAAAACAGTTATGAGTTTATACCACATAGTTTGAATGCCACTCAGCAGGCCCTGAAAGCCTACTGACGTTAAGAATTGGATAGGAATTCTTAAAAGTACAGCCTCTGTGCCTGTGGGGTCTGAGCAGTCTTCTGGACTTGGCTAGTCCTCTTGTGCTTCCCTGGCCATCTATTGTCCCACAGAGGCCAGGCCTTCTCAGCGGATGCCTTGATTTTCTGACAGCCCCTGGCAAGCTGAGCATCACTGAGCCCTGTTGCCCTTACCTGCCTGCAAGGGTTCAATTCAGTTGCTGACAGTCAACAGCTCTCCCTGTGGGATTGGTTATATGATCCAGGTAGATGATACAGGGCTCTGTGACTTTTAGCTACAAAGAAACATAGTCTGACAATCAAACACTAATTAGGCGGGTTCCATTTCTTGATGATAACTTGCAAAATGTGGGTGTACATCCACAACTCAGAAAATGTATCTTCAAAATCCAGATCCCTCTTCCAAATGCTCTTGTAAGACATCATCCTCTCATGACTATTTCCCCTACCCCCAACAACAGCCTCCTCCTCCCTCCCACTCCTCTGTCTGCCCTCCCCTCCTTCCTCTTCTTCTCCCCTTCATTTCCCCCAACCCTGTCTTTCTCCTCTTTCCCCATCCTCTCCCCTCCCTTCTCTGTCTCTCCTCCTCATCTCCCTCCTTCTCTTCCCCTTTCTACCTCTCCCTGCCTCTCTCTTCCTCTTCCTCTCCCTCTCCCATTCTTTCCTCTCTGCACCTAAGGCTCTTTGTCTGGGCCTTTCTTCTCCCTTACATCTTTATTAGGAAGATCAAAACCTTGACAACTTCAGCATTCCCTCCACAGCACCCTTTGACTGAATTCTCCACCAGACACGAGATGGAATCGGATCTAGCTAGCAGCCATTCTTCTCCCATCAAGGGACGGGGAGGAATGAGCAATCACTGTCCCCCTTACAGTCACTTCCTTGTATCCGGATCCGTGCTATGATTTGCAGAACTGTTCTCTATCTCTGCTAATGCGATTGCTCAAAGGGCACTTTAAGGGTAATCATTATCCATTGATTTCTTTTCCGAAGCCTTTTAGTCCCTCCAATAAGCCCTGCCAAATGTTGGCTGCTGATTCTATTTGTTAACTGGGGGAGAACTTTGTTGTTTAGAGGCTGTCTAGTCTGAGGGCTCTGTCTACCCTCAGTGGGGCAAGGTGGCCATTTCCTTCCATCTTTTAGTGAGGAAAGTCACCTTTTGATTAGGATTTGAGCTGATGGTGAAGCCCCCTTCTGGAAGAAACCTGAATACCACAGTACTCCCTGTGCTACACTCTTAACAGTCCTTTGTCCCCTCCAGGAAAGCAACTGTTCAGGGTCTGTTGTCTATTGCCCCCTTGGAGAATTTCCCAGGGAGAGATAGATAAGTCATCATCTCAGGAATAGCAGAGAGGAAAATGTCTGACAGATAACCAGAAGCACAGGACCGGCATCAGAGTCTTCGCTTAGGGCAAGTTTGAAAATTCTAGAAGGCAGCAGGACTGCAGGATTCTGGGAAAGAACCCTGAAAGGGAGGCTATGGCTGAGAAGTGTGTGTTCTTCCTGGGAGCCTTTAGTTCATGGGGGAGCTTTGCGTGATCAGAGGGTTCTGCAGTCAGCCTGCTGAGAAGGCTAGAGCCATGCCTGTCTCTTCTCAGCCACAGCCAGGGAGAACTTGAAAAACTGAGGTGGGACTCTACGTGTAGGGACATGTCCCTGTGTTTTTAACCTGTGCCTGTTGCCTTTAAGCTCGGGGTTTGAACAGCTGTTGTCTGCCGTGATCATTTATAGTGTTCTCGTGTACATGAGTGTGTTTGTATCCTTGTATCTGAGGATGATGTGTGTGAATACTGTGTACATGTGAGTGCTGAGGGCTTGGCTCAGTGCTATGTCCATGTGCACACCTGCGAGCAGAGTAAGGAACGGTGTGAACAAGTGAGAATCCCACAGTCAACACCTTCACACCTGTGGAGAAGAGCTCAGGGGATGTCCCCCACAAATCTTGGCCTGAGAAAGAAATCAGTGGGGGAAGAGAGCCAGGCATCTTCCAAGCCTCTTACCTGTTTGCCATCTTCAGGTGGTTCTCTGCCAGAGAGAGGGCTTGATTCTGACATGTGAGATAGATGGCTGGCGCATGACAGGATAGTGACAAGGAGTAGAGGTTTTATTGAGTCCCTCAGGCACCTGGTGCTGACTCAGAGAGAGAAGCAACAGGATGGGATCGTAGTGTCTCACCTTAGTGAGGCTTCCTAAAATTTCCAACCAAGAGTACCTCACAATCGCTAGAACATTGAGAGATGCACAAAAGCATGTCTGTGTCCCGAGACTCAAAAAACTGATGTAGGCCATGAGCACAAAGCCAACCTATGATACACAGTGGCAGCTTCTTTCTCCTAAGATAAAAAAAGTAAAAACAAGAAATAAAATAAGAAAGGAGCAAATACCACAAACATGTAATTCTCCAAAAAGCCTATTAACGTGTGTGTCTGTGTTTGTGAGATGGTGTTTATGTCTAACGTATGTGTATGTGTGTGTTAGTGTGCTTGTCCTCTATTACTCCTCATCCCTTCTCTTGAGGCCAGCTACCAACCAGTAATTCCCCACAACCCTACTGTCTCACCCACCCCAAGTCAGTTGAGTTACAGGTGTGCCTGAGATCACATCTGAAGTGTTGTTGGGGTGAGGAGAGGAGCTCAGGGAATGGGATCTGGATTTGAGTCTTCATGCTTATGAAGTGAGCACACTTGCCTGCTGAACCATCTTTTCATTTCCCTGTTACCATTTTGTCATCATGTCCTGTACATGGTTTCTTTGCATGCAGTAGCATTTGGGGTCTCTATTAGTATTCATATATGCACACAATGATTTTGCATTCTTTCATACATATGCATTCATTGTCAGTTCTTACAAGATTGTGTTAATATACTGTTGTCCTGAAACCTGCTTGCTTCTTCAGAAAACATTTTTGGGCCTCATTCCCTGCCATTTCATACAAAACATCACCAGTCATTGACATCATTTCACATGGCTATTGTTGTGGGTGGGCTCTGAGCTGCCATCCAGCCCCTTGATAAATGATGTTTTCATGTTGTTCTAAGTTCTCTGATGGCAGTGAGCATCCTGTGTGTGCCTTGGCATATCCTTTTGTGACTCTTCCACTAAAGTCATGGCAATGAGGTTCTTTCCTGAGGGGGAATCTGCCAAGAAAGGAGGGTTGGAGCCATGTGGTCTGTGTTCCCTGTTAACACACAGGGCAAATTCTTGTTGTGTGCCTGTGGAGTCTTCTCTATACAGAGACACACTAAAAATAAGTTCACCTGTCTTCTCCTCACTCTGTTTATTTAACTGTCTTTCTTACGGAGCCTCAGCATATCCAGGAGGGTTTAAAAATACACACTCCAACAATTCAGCTGCAGAGCAGGAGATGAAATGGTGCCTCCCACTTTAGGATTTCATTCCTGCTGCTCTGGCACACGGAAACGCTTCACACAAGAGCTGGTTCTGGGTGGATCCCAGCCAGTAGAAAAGCAGCATGGCCTGGCAACTGCCCTGGCTATTCTGCTCACTGCTGGGGGACAGCAGTCAAGAAAGCTGTCTCACTTAAACTCCAGTTTTTGGAAATGAAGATAAAAATGAAATGCCTAGTGTAAAATGAAAAAAATTAGGATTTCATTTTGGGGTGTGTGTGTTGGGGGGTGTATACAGGTACCCTCAGATACTGGGTAAGGGTGTTGAATGCCTTGGAGCTGGAGTAACAGGTGGTTCTGAGTTGCCTATGAAAGGGTGTTATGGCAGAAACTCAAGTCCCCTGGAAGAGCGGCAAGTGCATCCAACTACGGAGCCATCTCTCCAGCCCTTAAATAATACATTTCTAGCAATTAGCCTAGTACATGAGCAGTGACATTAAATAATGGCCATGTTACTACTATCCAAAAGTTGTGAGTAGTTCACTCTAACTATAGTATAGCCATTGTCATCTCTATAAACAGTGTCACCAGACAGTCAGCTGTTTGATTTAGGAGTTGGAAGTGGAAAGCCAGACTTGGTTGACAAATATTCTTTTATTTGTTTATAGTATTTATTTTTTCCTGGTTATTACATGCTTGTAAAATTTCTAAATAATGGAAGTGTGTGACTTGGAATATGTGAGATTTACATTATTTTCTGTCCGAAATAACTACTGCTTGCCAAAGAATATTTCTGTATTTTCTTGTTTGCTAGTTTACTATCTGTTATCATCACACTAAAATGAAATTCCAACAAGACAAAAGATGCAAAAAGGCTTTCTCCTTGTGTTTCTTTCCTATGACTATAACAACACAGCAGAGGTTCAGGGATCACGGTTTCTGAGCTTCTGCTCCATCATCCAGTTGGCCCCATGACTTTGCCCAGTGGAGAGACAGCATAGCATGACAAAGAGATCATTGTGGAGCAATCTGCTTACGTCAGGTTGGTCAAGAAGCAAAGAGAGAGGAAGCAGAAGAGAGATACTGGAAACCTACAACCTTATTCAAGTGCATACCTCGAATGAACTTACTTTCTTCTTCTAGGCTCCAGCTACTACAGTTTCCAGCACCTCCCCAATAGTGTTGTTGCCTGGAAACCAGACCCCCAACTCACGGGCCTTTGTAGCACATTGAAGAACCATTTATGGTACTGTGAATATCCAGCATCAGCACCACAGTTTAATACAATGCAGGAAAGCAGGAGCTGCTTGATTTGAATGAATATGTTAATAATCATTGTTAATAGCCTAGGTAAAAAACTCTGGTAATGATTGAGATAATGCAAGGAATGACTGTGTCTGTTGCAGTTGGGTGAAGCAGTCTAAGATGGATGAGTTTATGAACTCCTTAGACCCAAAGCATGGGATATACCCAGCAAGCAGAAACACTCTCCCCAAAGAATGGAAGGCCAGACATTTGATGTCAACCCACAACCCTTTATCATGAAGGGGAATTATTTAGGCAACTAGAGGTTACCATAGGTGTTCAGGACCTGGGACCAAGAATTATAGGAGTGGGTGCTCATTTCTAAAACCTAAGCATGTGGCTGTTTCACTCATGGGAGCTTGCTTCAGAGTTTGGGACACCCAATAGCTTTGTGGGAATATTCAGAGGGAGCTGCCAATGATCCAGGGCAAGGATGGAATCCCTAGACACAGATGCAACACAGAAATTAGGACAGAAAGCCCATCTGAAGCCCCCAACTCTACAGTCTTACATGGGAAATGGGTTTAGGTGTTACATAGGAGTCAGGGAGATGGTTCAGCTATTGGAATGCTTGCCTGGCAAGCATTATGGCCTACGTTTAGGACCCTGGCATCCATGTTAAAATAAAAGCTCCCATTGCTGTAATCCCAGTGCTGGAGAAGCAGAGACAGGCAGATCCCTGGAGTTCTCCACCCAGCTAACCTAGTTCAGTTGGTGAGTTCTAAGTTTAGTGGGAGACCTTGTGTCAAATAACAAAGTGGGTGAAATGATTGAGACACCTGACACTTAAGTACACACACACACACACACACACACACACACACACACACACACACTAGGTAACAAGTACTGACTGAGAAGCTACTATGGGTGAATAGTGGCGAGTGCCATAGAGGGTGAACATGCTGTCTCTGGCACAAACCTTGTGCACAAGCCTGAGGGTGTGCTGGGGGTGCACACCTTCTTTATGCTGGCCTTATTACTTTGTGCTAGTTGGCATACCTGGCATGATAACACAAGAGGAGCACACGACTTAGGAGGTTGTAGGGAAGCAAACATTAGCCTTCAACAGAAACAGGGCTTCGGTGACCCTGAACATGGGCACTAAGGCCTTTGTCAGAGACTGGAAGTGGGGTGATGTTGTCATGATTGTTTTCTAACTAGTCCTTTCCCACCACCTCTGACTTCCTATGCCCCAGTCACCCATGAGTTGCTTTTGACACTATGCTGGTTGGAACCAGCCCATTATGTACACGATCCATGCTCCAGGCAAAGGTTTTCTTCATGTAACATTATTTGATCACTAACTCCTGTGTGTTAAGCATTATCACCTTCCAGATAAGATAATCAGGGGCTTTGAATGGCATTTTCCCAAGGCCACACAGCCAGTAGTGGTGGCAGAACCAGGAATCAAACCCAGTTCCACCTACTAAAACTGTGCTTATAACTGCCATCCTGAAGCCTCTTCTCCCAGACCTGCATGCTCAACCTTGCTTTGAACTGATAAGAAGACCCCCTTCCTGGCTCTCATTAATTTATTATAGAGTAACAGAGAACATAGGGTCACTGGGCCCAAAAGCATTTCCTTAAGTTAACGCATCCCCCCATGCCTCCCCCTCTCTTCTGTTTTTAACTCAGAGCCTCTCAGACTTGACAGGAATCCTCAGGTCGTTGGCTCAATATCATCCCCCCTTGCTTTGCCTGTAAGATATTTAAATGTGTTCAAGACAGCAGTCTTCCCTACTGGCTACAGTGGAAAGTCATCACATGTGAACAGAGGAACCCTGGGAGTACTCTCTCGGGTGTTCCACGACATGCTTGTCTTTGGAACTCTTAGACCTTGCTACCATCTGCCCCATCATGCACCTCCTAAGAATGCCACAACTTCCCCAATACCTTTGTCAATTGCTGATGTTCTTCCTCTGTCACCATGCCATGCATGGACTAAGCCCACTACAGGCATGGTTGAATTGTCTTCCCAAAGCCTTTGTCAAGGCTCTTATCCCCTTTTATTGATGAAAGAAACAAAAACTCAGATCAGTTACAGAACCAAAGCCAGGCAGGTCTCTACTGAGGCTTTTTCTGCTGTCATTCCACCACATTCTCCCTGTTTATACTCCTCTTCTGCTTCTCCTCTAAGCAGCTGAAACAGGCTGTAGTCAACACCCACCACACACATACACACACACACACACACACACACACACACACACACACACACACACACTAATCCTCATACCAGTGCACCACGCTAAAGACTGAGGGAGAGTGCAAAGGCCAGTCTTGGAGGAAACAATCACCATGGAAAGATGGCTGACTACTTAAAGTCCTGATTTCTGAGTTCTCTTGTCTTGAGAAAGTGGCCCCACTTTATCTGTGAGCTGACCATCTTCTGAATCCCTGGTCCTTCCCTCCTGTTATCATCCTGGGCCCCATGCACGGAGATTGAGCATCCTGCCCCCACTCTCTGCTCAGGACTCATAGTTTAAGAGGGTTTGGTGGTGGGGAAGCTACTAAGACAAAGCAGAGGATGGCAATGTCACAACACAGCAGCCAGGAAGCAGAGACGGGGAGTTCCCAGGTCTTCCTCTCTGGAAACACCCTCACAGGTATACTCACAAGTGTGACTTACTGATCTCCCTGGAGATTCCAAATCCAGCCAACATGGCAGTGAAGATTAGCCATTGCATTCATTCAACAAACAATAGTATTCATTACACAAAGGCAAGGGTTCAAAGAGTGAGCATAGAATTTCAGTGGCATAGAACCTTCCACATCAGTCCCCATTTAATACTTGTCATGTGTCACCCTAACTAGGCACTAGGAAAGTGTGAACCCTAATGATGATGGTACAAGTTGTGATGATAGTGACAGCAATAAAAACAACAACCAGCAGTTCATTCACCATGGGTATGATGTGTAAACTACAGGCTGCCTGCTGCCTGAATGTTCACACTTGATTCCTTCAGTCATCCTAAGTGGGTGTTGTTATCATTCCCATTTGACAGATGAGGAAGCTGGCCCAGAGGGGAAAATGGCATTTAAGGGCTCATATCACAAAGTGTCAGAGCTCTGATTTGGAACCCAGAGCCCAAGTCCTTGGCCACAGTGCTGTAGTATGTCATAGAGACTTGATCAGCCTGGTCCTGATCAATACACTCAAGGTCAGGTTACATGGGTCTGTAAGCCCATCCAAGTGAGGACTTTTCCTCCTTTCTCCTGGGGGAATGACAAAAGGGTCAAGAGAGGCTTCCTGAAGGCAGCACACAGTTTGTCACTGAATGCCGATACAGTCCCTGAAGAAAGGTGTAATGTGGGTGGAGAGAGCAGTGTGAGCCAGGCAGGACTTTATGGCATGGCACAGCCTGGCTTTTGGAGGATGGAGCAGTCAAGGGAGAAACCAGTGAATGAAGAAGCCACAGATATTATTAGGAGTGAGATTTCAAAGTCGCTCAGATGACAGGCAGCCACCAAAAGACTCATAGCACAGAGCCGAAAGGTCACAGACCAGCTGTAGTAGGTCCAACAAGTACTCACATGATAGGTGAATGTGAGGAAGATGGGGAGCGTGGGGAGCCCGGGGAGCCCGGGGAGCGCGGGGAGTGTGAGACAAGAAGACCTAGGGAGACTGGTCCTATAGAAGGCTCAACAAAGCAGCTGCACCTTAACCACACACAGACCTATCACCTTCCCCACTTTTCCAGTCCTGCTGATATTGTCTGAGAGAGACCTCCTCTGGGGTTCCCATGGGTGGAATCACTCTAAGCCACCCCATCTTACCATGGACTGGTGCCTCCTTTCTCATGCTGTTAATGGTGAAGATCTATTGGTAAAGGCTGACTCTGCCACTCTAGAACTTTGACTTGAGGCCTTCAGGGGCAGGGTTCCGACTGTAGTAACTGTCTATGGCATTCTTTAGTCTTCCAAATTCTAAAAGAATATAGTCTCTCTTGCTCCATTTAACTACCACAGAGTTATGAAGTCAAGAGGCAACTGCCTCCCTCATTCTACAGCTAATACCCATGTTAATGCAAGCCTGACTGCACAGCTTGCTTAAGCACTATTTCCTAGCAAGTTTTACAGATATGTGGTGAAAGCAGAACAGTGCTGTGATTTCCCCCAGCTTCCTCCAACTGGGAGAGGTGTGTATTGATGGTGTAGCTGACTAAGATCTCCCCCAGGATAATGAAAAGTCAGCCCCAGTGTTCTAATTTTCAGCATAATCATCACTACAGAATAGCAGATCTAGGGAGATTCCAGATCTTAACCAAATGGAAAGGTAGAAGAAAAGCATTCAGAGACCAGGGAGGAATCCAGGACAAGGGGCTGGATTATCCTGTGACTTTGGAAGCTGGTTTAGGAAATCAGAGCCAGGTAGGCCAGGAGGGCTGAAGGCCCATGAGGACCAGAAATAGCAGTCACATGAACAGTTCAGCCAGGTGTCAGCCAATGATGCATGCTCTCTCTCTCTAGGTTCTCTGGGAGTAAATGGAGGAGGGCTGATGTGACTTCTGGGAGGTTAGGCCATACTCACATCAGAGGGGACTTAATGGTGGCAGAATGCCTGCATGGATGCTTTCAAGCACTGACACCCTACATGGAAAAGGCACTGTGCCAGGCCTGGAGAGTGTCAGCAGTGTGGGATTTGATATTAGGCCAACTTGAGTTCAGACACAGTCTGGCCCTTGCTAGAAGTTGAAAGCTTGTGTCCCTTCTGTTAAATGGAGGCAAAGTTGGCTCAGTCTCCAAGGGCTTCAATAAGTATTAAGTCCAGGAAGGTGTTGACAGTGTGCAGGAACAGGCTGGATGTTAACATAAGTGGCAATCATCATTACCAGCCAGGAACACAAGCACAGAAAGCCAGATGCATAGGAATCTCACTCTACAGGCAAATTGTAGGGACATATACTAGGAGAGGGAAGATGACTCAAACTAGATCTGAGGAGATGCCTGGGCATCCAGGGTCACCTTCTTCTACCCAGGTCATCCTCCTTTTCCTTCCAGCCCCACCAAGGTTGCTTGAGTCTCCAGTGAAGGCTGCTCATAGCACAGGCAGCCTCCACCCACACTCAAGCCAGAGAGCAAGCCTAAGAGTTCACTGGGTGCTGGGAGCTCAGCCGATGTGAGCCATTAGAGCCGGCTCAGCAGTCAAGGCAGAACAGCTAATCTCTGCTTCCCAGTGGAGCCAAATCAAATCCATGAAAAATATTAGGTTTCAAAAAAATGCAAGCCATGCTGAGTAAACCAGCTGCCAGCAGCAGACAGCTAATTGGGTTGTGTATTTGTCTGTCGGGAAACATTGAACTCACTAGTGTTTAGGAAGCACTGGCCAAAGACTCACCTTCTAGGATTGGAGGTCAAACAAAGGTTCCTCATCTGTTGACCCCACTGACCTATACTCCACTACCACCTGCCCCACGAATTCTTCCTGGTGGGAAGAAGCTTTCCATTGGTGGAGTGAGTAACAACAGCAGGAGAGAGCTGGAGTTTGGTTCTTCTATCCAAACCACAGTCATGCCTTGGGCTCCTGTCTACAGTGTGTTTATTAGGGAAACATATATCAAGTGGCTTCTTTGGAGGCAAGGAATAGAAACTGAATCTCTAAATCTGATATTCAGGGATGATCAGAACCAGAACATCTGTGTGATGATTTCATGTACTCATGATTTAATGTCCAGCCTGTATCAGCAATTCCTTCCTACATTATTAAATTATTACAAAAATTAGAAACTTAAATGGGCAATTCATTTTGTTTATGTGTGTTTGTATGCATATGTTATGCATGTGCACATGTGTGTGGGTACACATATGTGTGGATGCATGTTCAGGATGAACAAATATTAGTTACTATGTGGTTTTTGTGGGAGTTACCTAGGTGGAAGACTCTATCCCAAGGTGTTTCTTCAGGTTATAGTCATGCTGGCAGCTAAGAAATTTGTTATTTGAAAGCATGAACAGGGAAGATATATGTCTAAACTCACTCTCACCATTGCAAGACCTCAGGTTTTCATTTGTGGTTAGGTAAACTCCTAGATTAATCTTAATGTGTAGCTCTCCACAAGCTGGCTGAATGTCTTTATATCATGGAGTTAGGTTCCCCTTTAGATCAAGGGGATTGAGGTAGGGATGAGCACCAGTAGATAGGTCTCACTAGAAGTCATGATAAAGGCTGGATACATGTTTTTCCATGATGTGCTCTTTGAAGATAAGTTTTAGACTAGTATGAATAGACTGAGGACTAGATAGATTGATAGATAGATGCAATGATCCTCCTTAGCTTAGATTCCAAATTCTTGTCTCTTTGATAAAGCATAATATTCAGGGTTTGTTCTTATGTTATGAGAGTTATATAACCTGTAAGGGACCACCTGGGATAAAATGCCCCACTTGATTCTATGGATATGAAAATGGAAGCTTAGTGGAGTGGAATGAGTTGTCAAACATTAGACAACTTAGTATATCCAGGGCTGTCACCGAAGGCTTCTCCTCCCATGTTTCTTCTCTATCAACATAGAAAAGGGCTGTGTACACTTGACCCAGAATTCTTCCCAGATTCATACAGAGGTAAAGAGAAAACATTGTTGAAGTTTAAAACCAGCTGTGCTTCACTGGCCCCGACACCTTCTCTGTCTTGGACCACTGACTTAGTTCACTCAGCAGATCCATCCTCACCCCGGACTCCAAGTTCTCCCCATGGGACTTTATGCAGACATGAGTGTTCAATAGCACATTCCCTGGCATGTCCCAGGATGCTTTGCTGCTTTCAGGTACCCCTGCCTATAAACCCACTCCTTGTCAGTCTAGGACTTAAGTGGATCTTTCCCTCTACTGAAACATCCTTGTGGATGCACCATAAACGTTGACATTTCTCCAGAGCAGGATGTTTTGGAAAAAATATTTTAGATGAATGCCAGGCAAGGCCTTCTGAAATGTCATGGTGACTTTCCAAAGAGACCTGCCAGGAGCTAGGGTGAGTAAAAATAGCCACTGCTCCGAGAGGATGTGAAAAGAGTAAAGATCACAGAGAGAAGAGTTTGTTTGTTTTTAAAATAATTATTTCTAAATGGTTCTGGGCCTGCAGAATGCATCAGGCAGACAGGCAAGCAGAAGCTCCATGTCTGACGCCAGAGGGAGAAAGCAGAGAAGGGCAGCAGATGGGAGAGAGGGAGGTGGAGCCTCCAATTCCAGCCCCAGCCAAGTGCTTCGTAAAGCTTGGAAAACCCCTCTTGGATGGCAAGCCTCAGTTTTTCCAGCTGGACTGGAATCCGAAGTGGGGGAAATAAATTAAATTCAGATAGGTATGCAAATAGCTACACATAGAGTGGAAAAGAAACACAGAGAGACCAGTGCGGACAGAAAAGTGGGCCAAAGAGAAAGCGACTTTTTGGCTACAGAAAAAGTCAGCACCATGGGCAGATCTAAGCCAATAGTACTTTTCCTGACTCTTGAGCCAGGTTCTTCATTTTTATGGTTTTGAGATATCATTGAGGCATCTAGATAAGCACAGAGGGTTAATACCTGACATCTGGACTCATCTACCTAATGACCTCCTGCCGGAATTATAATCTCCAGGCTTACTGAGATTCTGAGGCAGAAATTGGGATATCTCCTAGCTTCCCACTTCTTGTGAGGCTGAATGCAGAAACCAGACCACCTAGGCTTGCCAAGAATCAGTCCCTCAGCACCAAATTAGCATCCTAGTTAAAAAAAAGAAAACATAACACCAGCAGTGATTAAGAGCTCCAGAGGCTCCAATACCTCTCCCCTCTCAGTTTTGGGAGGGAAAACCTTGATTCTCATAGAAACCACTGCCCGAGTTAAGCACTGTGTCCTCTGGAATTTGCTAATAGTGAGAGCAACCATGGTGCCTTGTGGTCATTTGGCTCAGGTCCACAGCATGCTCAGTGAGTGGAACCAGACTCTGGAAAACAGAAAGGAAACATTTACTCAACGTTTGCATGTGCCAAGTCCTTACCAAGTAACTTTAGACATGTTGTTTAATTCAATTCTTAAGAGGCAACTCTGTGAAGCAATAATTATCCCTTCCCTCCTGAGTAAGACTCTTTGATATATCTTCATTAACATTTTATATAGCATACAAAATGGGTTCCAATATGGGGACTTATCAAGCTCATCAATGTACTATGCTCAAATTTGCTGTCCCATTACCCTCCTCTACTCACCTCCCCTCTTCCATAGTTTTAAACCTATAAAGAGACTAAATATCAGAGTCAAAGAAACACACCAAAAGTCATGTGATGTAGTCATGTAGTTGTCGTTCTAGTTCCAGATGATCCAACAGTCACAGCCATGTTCTTTCCTTTGAAAATCTGTTGCTTTTGTGTGGCTGGATCTGATAGATAATTGGAAGCTTTATCATAGCCACATTTTGTACAGAGATCCCAGCTTCTCTGTCTATATGTCTGTCTGTCTCTCTCTCTCTCTCTGTCTCTCTATCTCTCTCATACATATGTGTGTGCATACATGCATACAAACATTTGTGTTTTTCTTTAGCTAGTAATTAGTTCATTTATTCCATTGCTGACACAGTTCCCAAAACCTAGTTTTGACAAAAGTTTCTCTGGGACTTTTCTTTGCCCTCAGTGACCCACATGAAGAATTCCATTCTGTCCTTCAAGGCCCACCTCAGATGGTGACTGATTCCAAGAGTGTCAATAAGCCTTCAGGCAAGGGTAGGCACCCTGTCCTCCATGCTCCTCTGATGCACATGAGCCACCTTTAGTGAAAGTCATCTAATTATCCTTGAGCCTCGTATCCCTAGTGCAATATCAAGCACCGATTAGGACCATGAGAAGCACATACGTAAGAGAAGGAGGAAGAGAAGAAAGAAGAAAGGATGAATGGGAGGGAGAGAAGAAGAGATGGGAAGAGCAATGCTTTTGAAATGATAGCATTTAAGGCTATGCTGGTAAGTGAGCATACTGCTGACAACCAACATTTATTGAGATACTTGGCAGTCCATGCTCTGTTTTAGGTGCTTAATGTGTATCATCTCATTTAATGCTTGCAATAACCCCGAGGTAAGTACTGTTATCACCCCAATTAAGCAGATTAAATTTCTCTTTCAAAGCCACACAGCTAATTAAAAGATTTTTAGTAGAAGATTTAGAAGATAAATCTAAAAGATTTAGAAGAAATCTAGTAGAAGACCTAATTAGTAGAAGATTAGTAGAAAACAATTAAAAGTTTGAACTCCAGCAGTTTGGTAGCAGAGCCTTCCAGGACCTGTAAGTCTGCTCTTCAGAGATCTGCAAGAAAGGGACTCGAGGGCTCTGACCCACTAGCCCCAACACATGGATTTGCAGGTCTTTCTTAGCTCCGCAGGTCAGATGTCAGCTGGTGTAGCTG